CCCACTGACCCATGGGGGAGACCTCACATACCCATGGGGGAGATCTCACATACCCATAGGGGAGATCTCACATACCCATGGGGGAGATCTCACATACCCATAGGGGAGATCTCACATACCCATAGGGGAGATCTCACATACCCATGGGGGAGATCTCATCGAGCCCCTTGGAGTGCACCACCAGCGCTCTGCGGATGCCCAGGCGCTGGAGAGAGCGAGCCATGAGGTCCACCTGAACGGTGCAGAGGGGTGCAGAGAGGTTCAGAGGGTTGCAGAGGGGTGGACAGAGGTGCAGCAAAAACTTAGACATCGGTTGTGGTTGGTTGACCTTGTCAATCCATGTACGTCTGCTTTGTGTAACGGTGCCAGGCTCATTCATGGGGTGTTTCCCATCGCCCAGTGGCTCCTGGTCATGGAGGTAGTGGGAGATGTGACTCTGGGAGATGTGACTCTGGGAGATGTGACTCTGGGAGATGTGACTCTGGCATATGGTGAGTCACATCTCCCACCTGCTACCTCCCTTTCCTGAAGCTAGACGTCCTCAAATCGCATGCAATCAAAGCTATGCACACCTTTCACCATTCAAACGGAAAGATGATTTTTCTGCCCTGTCCATCCATTGCCGGCATTTTACCCCTAAGCTTCCGCGCAGCCCCATTTGACAGGGTTATGCCGCTGGAGTTCAGACCAGATTATGACAAAATTATGCACGTTTGACAAGAAGTTATTTCCAGCTAAGACACTGACGATTTAGGCATCAAGGTTCTTAACTTTGCCTTATGATTGGAGCCTACTTACAGTTTCCGGGTTGAAGACTCCCACAAGGGCGTATGGGGCGAAGGAGGGGTTGAGCATGGGTCCGAGGAGGTTGAATGCGGTTCTGACTTTGAGGGCCTTGCGCACGGGAGCCACGATGCGCATGGCGGGGTGGAAGCGAGGCGCGTACATAAAGCCCACCCCTGCTTCCTGCACACAGCGCGCCACTGCCTGAATGGAGGGAGAGGGATGGACGGGGTAAAGCCGGTCGGAGGACACTCAAAAGGGGTGGAAGAGAGGCGCCTACATGAACCCCACCCCCGCCTCCTGCACACAGCGCGCCACCGCCTGGTGGGGTGGCGGAGAGAGGGTCGAAAGAGGGAGAGTGGTTGGAAGGGACCGAATAGGGGTGGAAGCGAGGGGCGTACATGAATCCCAACCCCGCCTCCTGCACACAGCACGCCACCGCCTGGTGGATGTGGGGAGGAGAGGGGAGGGGATGATGGGATGGGAGTCAAGAGAGGGAGTGAATGGGATGGTTGAACTCTTTCTAAAGAGGCGAAAGCAGGAATACATGAATACCACCCCTGCCTCCTGCACACAGCACGCCACTGCCTGGTGGGGAGGGAAGGGGAACAGCAATGGGAACATAGGAAGGGGGCCGAGTGAGATCTACGTGAAAGCGAGGGGCGTATGCGAACCCCACCCCCCCCCCCCCCTGCACACAGTGTGCCATCGCCTGGTGGGGTGGGGAGTAAAATGGTGCCTTCGGTTTGAGACGTGTGAAAAGGGGTGGATAGGTGGAACTGTAAGGGGAGAGACACTAGGGGACATCATCGAAGACTGATAATAAAGAACACGTGATCTCTTACACAACATCTGCACAGCACACCCTCCCACCCATATCCAGGCGCCATGCGCACAGCCCTCACCTCGGGGCCTAGGTCCACCTCCACGTTGAGAGCCTCTAGCACGTCTGCACTGCCACATTGAAGTTTCAAGAATAATAATGAAAATAAAAACCTTCATCGCAACGCAAAGCCTCACCTGCGGGCCTAGGTCCACCTCTCACCTGCGGGCCAAGGTCCACCTCCACGTTGAGAGCCTCTAGCACGTCTGCACTGCCACATGCACTCGACACCGAGCGATTACCGTGCTGCTCCAGGGGAAGAGGCCGGATGGGGGAAACGGAGGGAGAAAGTTGTCAAGGTAGCGTATGAGCGGCAGTAGTATCCATCAGATATCCACACTATCAGCACAAGGTTTGGCCTCACACGGGGATCGACCCTCAAACACGGATCGGCCTCACAGGGGGATCAACCAACCCTCACATCGAGATGGCACTTATAGGGCGCATTTACTCGCCAGAGCGCACACAGACACACATCGTCACACTGTGCCAAACTCGACTCAACTACCCTGCTGCCCTTCTGGTCCACGCACCTTGGCGACATGGGCACCACAGGCAGCAGCGAGCACGCAGGCGCCAGTGCTGATGTTGACGGTGTCAAAGCCATCGCCGCCCGTGCCCACTATGTCCAATGTGTCGTCCCCCGCTGCCACCTCCACACACATGCTCCTCATTGCTGCTGCCAGCCCTGCCACCTGAAGATAAAGAAAAGAGTGGAAGAGAGAAGGGGAAAACCTATTTCCATTGCAGACAGTGTGTGTCGTCCCCCGCTGCCACCTCCACACACATGCTCCTCATGCCGCTGCCAGCCCTGCCACCTGAAGAGGGCGAGAAAGGAGATAAGGGATAAGGTGATTGGAAGTGCAAGTGCCCCTTGAAAATGGAGCAATCAGAATGCTTGCTACCAAAACAGGAGATAGGAGGCGATGTAAAATCTATCCAGAATGCCGAACTAGAATCCAAAAGTCAATCCTCCTCAGTAAGCAGAGCATGCTCCCTTCTGCTGTTAACACCCGCTGCTGCTACCATCTTGTGCTGTTTTCTTCCTGAATTCACCCAAGAGCCCGAGAAAGAAAGGATTAATGTTGTTTTACCCCCCCTTGCAGTTACCACTTCCAATCCTTACCCGTCCGTCTGTTTTTTCTAATATGCGTGCCAGGAATAAAAGTTATCTGCCAATCATTTTCTTCACTCCAAGTCCACCACATCATCCCTTCTCACCATCAGCCACTGCCACCCGTCTCTTAGCCCCCATGCTCACCTCCTCAGGCGTCTCCCCCTTGGCGCGCAGCAGCACAAGGAAAGCACCGATTTGCGCCGCCTCTGCTCCGGCGATGAGCCCCTCCATTGCCGCTTGCGCCTGCTCCTGTGTCAGGTCCTTGCGCTCTATCAGCTGCTGAATCACCTGGGGGAAGCATCAACGGCGTGAATGGCGTCAATGGGACAGGAAACCAAGGGAGGAGAGGGCATGCGTGGGATGGAAGGAGTTGCGCGGCTCTGCACGGTAATGCATTGTACAGGGTTGCTTCTTAAATAGCTCCAAGGATCCTGATATTGGTTCTCGCTGTTTGATGCTGCTGCAACGCCTGCCAATGCCGAGATGGGGACTCGATGTGACCTAACTAGTTAGGAACTAAGTTACCAGGGCCGATGAGCAAAAGCCATTCTCTTCCATGAATAGACCTACTACAAGTTACCATCATCAACCCTAACCAGCTGAACTGTGCTTTGTCCAGTAGGATTTACCATCACCAACATTTACCAGCTTAACATTGCCATGTCTGGTAAATTTTACCATCAACAACACTCACCTGCTTCAGGTCGGTGGCGACGGTCGATGCATGCACGAACGCCGCTTGGCGTCTGCTGCTGCATGCTTGCTGACGTGTCGTCGACTGAAACGGTCGACTGAAAGCTGCGCTGGATGGTCTCTGACAGGTCGAAGAGACACAGGAGGGACGCAAGTCGATAGACTGATTCGTGCAGGTGCTTTCAGAATAGCATGGAATGTAGTGGCTAAGCCGAGTAGGAATTATGGACTGGGTAAACAAAAAGGGCAGACAATGCGAAGCAATCAGGAAGGTAAGCCGCGAACAGCCAGATGTAGAATACAGTCAGCGAGCTACAATGCATTCTATTTGAAATGACAAACACGATAAGCTTGAGCACTGCAGAAAATCGCCGAATTCCCTGACCAGATTGCCTCCGCAGTCAATAAAGGTTAAACATAAGCGTAACGAACCTGACGGCAAGATGAGCCACCGCTGCTGCAGCTTACGCTAGGAGACTGTGACCGGAGTCTAAGAGCAACTGCATGGGAGGCTTGAGAAATCGCCGCCATGTCGGAGTCGAACTTGCAACAAGCAATTCTGCTCCTGACTGGTTGACAGACGGCCAAGGATTTCAGGAATCAGGATGGAATATGCCGTTGTGGCTGGGCTGGGACAGTTGTGAAATGTGCGCAGGACACCACAGTCGATAGCCCTTGAACCAGGCCTAGGAATTCGGCTGGACGGTACAACCAATGGGAGTTCAGCCTGCTAGTATGGGAAGGATCTAACGGCTTAGGTTCGCCCTACTAACCGCTCAGGTGTCAGGGGAAATACGCAATAAGAACGTTACAGTGTACTGCACGATTTCCATGCCTACAGAAACTGCCTATAACTTTGCACTTTCGTCTTCAATGTACTGATTGCTTTCGCAATTAGAATGTTCGCAATTAGAACACATCTATTTGCCAGCCTTAATATTGTGTAGAGATTCGCTGTAGCCATAACTGATTTCAAGTGTAGCCAAGCACCTTCTGGTGCGGTTTTGAGTCGTCGTGGTTGTTGAGATCGTCGAAGGAATTGATGATCTAAACGTTGTGACTGTGGAGGGAAAGACGGAAGCTGAGGAGAACAGCGAAGGGGAGAGGAAGTTAGCAGATTCTGCTGGTCTGGATCTGTCTGTGGAAGTAATATTTGCTCAGGCTGGTTTCCTCTTTGGTTGGTGTTATGGTCGCAGCGGGTGAATCTTTCCTTTCTTGGGAATGCATTCGGTGCTAGTTAGGGAATGATAAGTCTGGTCCTGCAGGCGTACCCGCTGATTCCTCAGCTTCTTTCATGGATGGCCCCAGCAGCGGCTTCGAAGTAGGTTGCAAGCTCAAACTGAAGACGACCTTAGGGGAGCAGCTGGAAGGGGAGGTCCTTGCGTTCGATGCCTCCACGAATTGCGTCATACTTCATATCCTTTCAACATCTCACCCTACCCCTTCACTCTATTCTCTCGCATTCCTGCTCAACTGTTCCATTTTTATATTTGAAACGGTTTTGGATCAAGTTTTTTACGCAAAATGCTTTTTGCTCTTCCTCTTAGTCGTTCTAGGGTTTCTTCCTTAACTCGATGCACACAAGATCTAAACAGCCGGGGACCGAAGAGGAACATACGCTTTTTGAAGGCGGATCGGATCGAGGAGTTCTCTGTTTTGGGGAAAACTGAGGAAATTGCGTCCCTTCGTCTTCCGTATGTAGACCTAGCAGTATTGCACGCGAAGGAGGACGCCGCTGTCAGGTACGACCTAGATAACTTCTGAATTCAAGTGCTATGCACTACGAAATCAGCCCGGTTTCTACTCTGACTGCTTTGTCTGGCTGATGGCAGGAAAGCGGAGGGTGAAGCCGAAAGAATAGGAGTCGGGGTAACTGCAGAGGCTCAAGACATATTCTTTGCCCTTTGCAAAACGTGAGATACCTTCATAAACCTCGGGTGCACGCTTTCTGTTGTTGCCTTCTATATTGAATTGCCCAGTTCTCACATTCTCATGACTCATGATGTGATTCGGATGCAGGTTGCCCTGCAAATGGGACAGGACAAAAATCATTGTCATGGACGAGGTTCAGGTTCCGAGTCCATATAGGCCAGAGAATGTGACTGGAGGCTCGCCTGAAGCCAACGAGCGGGTGAAGAAAGTGGTAAGTTATTTTCTTTCCATCCTTCCTAGCAGTTCCTACATTTCTCCTTCTCTGGTCTCAAGTCTATCAGTGTCTACCCGGGAACTGGGAGTCTACTAGAAACTCAGACTTTGAAATGTGTGAATCTGGACAGAAAATGTGACTGAAATGAGGAAAAAACAAATAGAGAGATGGGGAACGACACAGATTGATTGTGAATCTGGGGTGGGGGTAAAAGAGTGGCAGATGACGTTGTATGCTAGTGGGAGAGGGAGCATACGAGTGAGCATTGAAGGGCACAGAGAAAGGGAAAAAGGGGATGGCAATAGCGAGGTAGAGCGAGTAAATATGATTGCTCTAACAGGTGTGCTCCACCTCTTGAATTTTCCATCAAATTTGCTCCGTCCACCTCTTGAATTTGCCATGCAGCCTCGATGCTCTAGCCAGTTGCATGCACTCCTGCGTCTTGTTTTTACGTTCACCAAGTTCCTGTGCCTGCCTTCCCGTTTCGGCCCCTTCATCAACAGCTTGCAAGGGAGAGGGAGCGGTTGCAATTAAGACTACAACAAAGTGCATAGTCTTGCCATTTCTGATAATGGTTTGGCTGCCTGTTGATGCATTCCTGTATTGTATCAAATTGGGCTTAGAAAGTGTTCCAATCGCATTAAAGATTAACCACTGTACTGTCCTGGCAGGGGTATGGCAAGGGAATGAGGTGTCGCATGACTAGAGATGCCAATTTTGACTTGGGCACTGCATGCCCAAAAAGAGCCTTCTGTTCTGACGTACGGTACCAGTATACCCAATGTTCTGGAGTTTTGGAGAACGGGCACTGATGAATGAATACTGCACACACATCCAGGATACCGTACAAGAATAATCTATTCCTTTAAGAAAACATGTGAGTCGTCCATCCTTTTATTCTAGGCTGCTGCAAAACTCAGGCAAGTCCACCATCTGGATTCTGGGAATTTGTGCTGCCTCTTGCCTCTCCTGCTCTGTGTTGTAGCCCCACGTTCCTGCAAGGACATGGAGTTACAAAATGTTGCGTAAGGTAATCGCCAACCGAATGATAGCCTGACAAGGTGGCTGACTCAACGACTCAGCAAACAGTGTTGCAGTGACAGCACAAAGCATGGCAACAACTGCACCTAGGTAGAGATTCCAGCCGTCCAATTGTGGTGTGCTGATGACATTGCGCAGCGTGGCTAGTCGATCCTCCACAAAGCTGCCACAAGATTAATGCAACAACAGGTGAGACGGGCACGAGAGTTGTGAGAAAGGATGCACTCCGCTGCTAAAAGCGACAGGGACAAAATGGCAGGAAACCTTTGAAATACAAATCAGATTCGAGGAAACAACCCGTGGAAATATGAAAGTAATGTACGGAAAAAGGGGACGCACTGAAAGGAGCAGCCTTGGTGTTGAGGGAGCGACTGCAGGTGCTGCAGTGTCTGAACTTTGGGGCTGGGTGGGGGAGAAAAGGAAGTGAGACAGGGGTGTGCATTATGGGCCCCCTAGGTGTGCAGGAATACGATTTGATAATTGGGAGGCAGTTTTCCAGCCTAGAGTGTGAGAGAAAGTAGAAGGCTTGGTGCAAGTATGTGGGAAGGATGGGTATGTATGGAAAACCATGACGCGTAAGGCCAGGTGACAAGATCTGATGTGTTAGATGGGCTCAACACATGGGGCTTTTCATGTACTTCAGCCCACCCATAACGATTGCGAGAGTGTAATACCCACCCAACAGGTGTTTTGAGACGTCTCAAAACACTACTTGTATCACGTCGTGCCAACAGGTACGTCTCCCACGCACTGACCATGATCCTGAGCCAGTACCCGTGTGTATAGTCCCTCCCTGCTGACACAGCTCACCCAAGAACTCACCCAACAACTCACCCAGTACCAAGGCCGAAGACCTTGTCTTCCGGGAAATCAACACCCGCCAATTCGCGCAGCAGCGCGAGGGCAAAGCGGGTCTGGGCGCACAGAGAGGGGCGCAGTAGGAAGGGCGCACAGGGAAACATGGGCCTCAAGAGTATTAGAAAAAAATGCAAAGACCAACTCTAGGAGGGTCAACGTAGTGGCAACACACAGAGCAAGAAAGTGGAGGTGGGGGGGAGAAGGGGAGTGCGCAGGTGTGTGCGTGCAAGTGGGCAGGTCACTAGTGTGAGTGGGGAGAGGAAGTATTGTGAGCATAAAAGAGAAAGACGCACCTGCTTGGTCGTGACTATATACAACGGAGACTCTGCCTTCTGTAGCGCCTCAGGCACGCCGGCATACATGGCATTCGCCGCAATCCACCCAGGCAGATCGTCTCGCATCCACTCATCTCTCACCGCCCCAAACAGCTCCACCAGCTCCTCCCTCCGCCCCTCCTCGCCCCAATCCGCCATCACTGCTGGCTTGATCTCCCCCTCCCACCCGCTCAGGATGGCCTCTAGGCTGAGCTTGCCTGACTTGGACAGCTGATGGGGGGCCAGAGAGGGGAGTTAGGCGAGTGGGGGGTGTTGAGGGGAGTGATGCGAGCCAAGCCAGGGAGGAGTGTGCGAGAGATAGTAGGGAAAGAGGACGAGAATGTGAGGAAGATGGCCCCAATCCGCCATCGCTGCTGGCTTGATCTCCCCCTCCCACCCGCTCAGGATGGCCTCTAGGCTGAGCTTGCCCGACTTGGACAGCTGATGGGGGGCCAGAGAGGGGAGTTAGGCGAGTGGGGGGTGTTGAGGGGAGTGATGCGAGCCAAGCCAGGGAGGAGTGTGCGAGAGATAGTAGGGAAAGAGGACGAGAATGTGAGGAAGATGGCCCCAATCCGCCATCGCTGCTGGCTTGATCTCCCCCTCCCACCCGCTCAGGATGGCCTCTAGGCTGAGCTTGCCCGACTTGGACAGCTGATGGGAGGGAGTTCAGGCGGTAATTGGATTGTGGGGAGTGCGGGGAGTGATGCAAGCCAGGCTCGGGGTGAGTGCGTGAGAGATAAAGGGGAAAGAGGAAGAGGAAGGAGAGTTTGGCCCCAATCCGCCATCACTGCTGGCTTGATCTCGCCCTCCCACCCGCTCAGGATGGCCTCTAGGCTGAGCTTGCCTGACTTGGACAGCTGACGGGGGGGAGTTCAGGCGGTGAGGGGATCGTCGGGAGTGATGAGAGGCCTGATGAGTGATGTATGTGTGCATGTGCATGTATGTGTGCATCTATACGTGCATGTATGTGTGCATGTGCATGTATATGTTCATATACACGTGAATGTGCTCATCAATTCTCCTGGACTCCTCACAACCACCACGGTCTTCACTGAGATTGCCTTCACTGAGATTGCCTTCACTGAGATTGCCTTCACTGAGATTGCCTTCACTGAGATTGCCTTCACTGAGATTGCCTTCACTGAGATTGCTTTCACTGAGATTGTTTTCCAACATGTCATGTCTTCACGCCTACAGACGACATTCTTCCTTCCCTCACAAGTCCGCCTTCTTATTTTTTAACCTGAAGCTACCTGTGCCTTTCACCTGAGATTGCCGCTTGTCTTCACATGCCATTTCCAGCAGCAGCCGCACCAGCAGAATGTTCTCATAACCGGTCTCCACCACTGGCCGCACCTGCAGTCAATGGCAGCACACACACAGGCATTATGTCAATATCATGTGCTCACGCTTATCACTCTCATATGTTCACATTATCACGTGTTTTTCAAAGAAAAAGCGGCAGCACCAGCAGTGCTCCTGCATGCATTGGCTGCACCACACAACGCGATGTCAACGCCTATAAGCATGCCGTGTGCCCCATGAAAGACGAGAACCTATGGAAACAGCACGCCATATCGTGACAGAAGGCCCCTCTAGGTTTCTCCCTCCACCACATGCCCTAGCCAAGTTTCCTGGCCAATCACAAGCCAGTCGTTCAGCCAGCATCAGGTCTGCTGGCTCCTTATTTCTCCACGTCTTTCCTCCTCACCTCACCTCACCTCACCTCACCTCACCTCACCTCGCCTCACCTCACCTCACCTCGCCTCACCTCACCTCACCTCACCTCACCTCACCTCACCTCACCTCACCTCACCTCACCTCGCCTCACCTCACCTCACCTCACCTCGCCTCACCTCCCTCATCTGCTTCAGAATCATCTCCTCCACTTCAGCAGACACGTCAGCAAAGAGCGACGGCCACCGAACCTTGGCAGCCTGTGGCGAACACGTGGGGTGTGGGAAAGGGACGACGAGCGGATGGGGAGCGGGGGGTTGGGGAAAAGGGAGGGGAGGAATTGCGGAGATCGGGAAAACAATTGTGGAGAATGGGATCACGGCTGAAAAGAGGGATCTCATACTTATTTCTCATGTAGTCATGTCACCGACTGTTCATTCGTACGCTCGTTACGGTCACCTCATACGCCGTTACTCACTCCTCTGCACGTTGCAGTCACATCTCTCAGGTCACTCGCCTCTGACCTCACCATCTCCTCGCATGTCCTCAGGAGAAACCCTTGGGTGACCTTGATGAAACCCTCAAACTTTAAGCGAGTTTGGCCTTCACCATTTACCAGAGGCTGCAGTCCGTCTGATCACCAATTCTCCTCGCTTCACCTCACCACTATCGGCGATAATCTTTGCCTCCCTTGGGATCTTCGCGCCTCACCTTCACGGCCGACAGCGAGCTCTCTCCGCAGCTGTCGCACAGAACGCCATCGAAATCCAGAGCGTACACGTGGCGATCCATGGTTGGGTCGCTGGTCCGCGACGCGCAACGAGCTATCTCGCGGCGAGGGCGACAGCAATGAGCAGAAGGAACGGCGACAGTTGAGGGACGCAGGTGAATAGACGAAGCAGCGGGGAAAGCGGCAAGCCGCGACCTGGATACGCACTGTAGCGGAGCTGCTGATTGGTTACCAGACAATCGCGTTCGCGAAAGCGAACAGGAAGATGCAGCAGGCGGTGAAAACGCCTTTCCAGCGCAAAGTGCGCTGCTGATCGCGGGCATGATCGCAGCGCAGGTGAGAAGTTCGGGCGGTGAGGCTGTGAAGAACGCTGTCAAAGCGAAGATCGGCCTTGAGAATGCCGCTTGTGCCTCGGGTTTGTTGCAAGCTCCAATTCGAGTGTCATTTTCTGTCACTCCCGTGTACCTCGTTTGTAACGTTATCCGAACGAATGCGATCTCAAATGCACATGTCGCAGCGAACGATCTGAATCTAATCAAGGGCTTCGCCTTGTTCACCAAATTTGCCACAAGCAGAGTAATATGGGGTTCTCGTAGATGTATACTTGTTACCGAGTTACTGTAGCAATGCAACAAAGAGGTGATTTAGGTTGAGCCCCCAACGTTCAAGGAACAGGTTCTCAAAGTTACAGATTGGACATCCCTGCGGCTCACTTCTTTTCCAGCCGTCAGATTGCTTCGGCCAGCCCCTCGAGGTTCCCAGAAACCTTGGAACCATTTTCAACAACAATTTTCGGTTTCTGGTTTGGGCTTCTCGCGACAACAGACACGGTTCATCACACCAAAGAGGTACCGATATCTGCATGCGAGGACCATAGAGTTGCATCGCGCTGCTGGGTCTCGACCCTGAGGTCCCGTAGCTGGCAACACGCTTCTGTGGGTAAAGGCGTCGCGAGAAAACAATGAGCAGCGGCGACGGCAATCAGGCCGGCGGCGCGGGGCGAGGAGGAGGAGGAGGGGGAGGAGGACCCGGCCGGCCGATGGGCATGGGTGCGCCGCCGTCCACGTCAGGCTATGCGAGCGCGCCTCCGCCGCCCATGGGGATGCGAGCCATGCCCCCGCCAGGTATTGATGCCGCGATTTATTAGATTAATTTTCCTTTCTCCTCATGAACGCCACCTCCACTCGGCTTAGATCTGTAGAATGTTTACGCGATTCAGTTATGCTTACCGTGATTCCGGGACGGCAAGGAAACCCTAATATGGGGAACCGAGCGATGCTCTTTCTCTTTGCACACAGTCACGCGTCCGTATGGATGAGTGGTGGTGCTGATGCTGCCATGCCGATTCAACTCCTTCAAACCCATATCATGGTATGACTTTGCTCATCCTCTGCGTCCTGCTTTCCCCCTGTTACCCGACGCTCCGTAATCATCTCGTTATCATCCCTCCATCGTCTCCTTCTCGTCTCCTGTCCTTCTCCTGTCCGTTTACTCGTCTCGTCGTACACCTCTTCCCGCTTCTCTCCTCTCCGTTTTGTCACCACTCCTAACCTCCCTGCACCGTTCACTCATTCCCCGTTCCTCTCCGCTTCCCACTCCCTCCCTAAAGCGCCGTCACATCAGCTAGAGCGTTCAGTTTGATTCGAACGCTCTTTGCATTTCTAGCCTGTCGTAGACTTGTGTGAAACGAGGGTGTTTTTGAGACGTCTCAAAAGTATGCACAAGCCAAAGAAAGGAAACACTTCTAGTGTCCTTTCCTTAGTGCATGTAAGCAGCAGTGAGGTGACTCTCTAGGTCAGGCCATTCCAGGCCAGGTTGTATCCAGTGCAGTTTCAAAACCGAAGTATCAATACTTCCATAGTTCTGCATGCAAGGCGGGATGAGCCCTCTGCCAGCTCATGACAGGCAGGCAAGCGGATGTGGGAACGCGAAGAGCCAGAGGAACAGTTACCTATTACCTACAATGATTATCCGGTGAGAGGGGTTTCGTCACAGGAGTGAGGGCTTTGATTATCCTAGCGTGAGTTTTCTGAGCTTGTGAGTCACTTGCGGTTGTTGGAAGAATTGCTTCAGCAGTTTATGTAGAGTGATTCACCAGTCCGTGACAGGCACGAAGGCGGATAGCCAGGCAGGCAGGCAGGCAGGCAGGCAAGCGGGCAGATAGCCTCAACGACTTTCGGGTAAGACAGTTTTCATTGGTGGGACATGTAAGACCCGCAGCTTTCCACCTGCGTAGGTTGGTATAAAAGTATTCGTGTGTACGTAGTGTTCATTAACATGCCGCATTGCATAATAATCACATGTAGTAATAGTCATCCGCAAGCTGGGATTCTAGTTAGCATACCCTAATATTCATCAACAAACGAAGGTCATGAACATTCGCATACGCTACTTTCCATTTGCATACCGTGTGGAAAATGGCATTCAATGTTTTTGGGTGATTCTTCTACTGATATATTCTCTATGTCCCCCTTCCTCCTCTTCCCGCCCAACCCCCTGCCCCCTCTCCCTGCTTCAATTCCCCCACCAGGCATGCCAATGCATCACTTCATCTTCATGCGTCCACCCCCAGGAGCCCCCATGCACCACTTCCGCCCGCCCCCCGGCGCCTCCCCCCTCCCCTTCCCCTTCCCGGGCATGCCCCGCGCGCCCAGCCCCTTCCCCCACGCCCTGGCGCGTCCGCCCTCCCTTCCTCCGCCCAACATGCGCCTCCCCGCGCCTCCCCACGGGGGGAGCGCGCCCCTGAGCTCGTTTCTGGCGGCTGCTGCGTCGAGGGGAGGGGCTGGTGCGGGGGGAACGGGGGGAGTGGGCGGGGAGAAGGCGCAGACGACTGTGTATGTGGGGAAGCTCGCGCCCTCTGTTGACGATACGCTGGTGGTTAAACTGCTGGAGGTGAGGCGGGTGGGAGGTTGGGGGAAGGGGGAGGGAAAGAGAAGTTGAGGGGGGGAGAAGGTGCAGACGAGTGTGTATGTGGGAAAGCTTGCGCCCTCTGTGGATGATACACTGGTGGTTAAACTGCTGGAGGTGAGGCGAGTGGGAGGTTGAGGGAGGGGGGAAGGAGGGGATGATTGAGGAGTAGAAGGGTGAGGAGCTGTACGTTGCGAGAAGCTGGAAGAGGGCCCACGAGCGGCAGTCTCAAGGGTGTCATGTTGGCGGCAGTCTCAACTCAAGGGTGTCATGTTGGCGGCCTGGTCCTTGCATTGCATGCTTGCACGTAACACAGTCTCTCCGATCCCTCCTTCCAATCTCCTCCCCCCTCCCCCCCCAAACCCATTTTCACCGTACCTCCGATCAGCTGTGCGGGCCGTCGGACCCTACGAGCGGCAGTCCCAAGGGTGACTCGCACTTAACGCGGTCTCTCCTCTCCCTTACCCCCTCCTCTACCCCGTCCCCCCGCTCCCCTTTCTCCCTCTCCTTCCGTTCAGCAGTGCGGGCCGTTGAGGAGCTGGAAGAGGGCGTCGGATCCCACGAGCGGCAGTCCCAAGGGTGACTTGTTGCTCCATGCATGCAACACAGTCTATCCCCGCTCCCCTACACACGCCCCCCCCCCCCCCCCTCCACCTCCCTCCAGCTGTGCGGCCCATTGAGGAGCTGGAAGAGGGCGTCGGACCCAACCACCGGCAGTCCCAAGGGGTTTGGGTTCTGCGAGTTTGACTCGGCTGATGGCGTGTTGCGCGCCCTGCGCCTGCTCAACCGCCGCGAGATCGATGGCCAGAACCTGCTGGTGGGTGTTGTTAATGAGCGTGTGTGGTACTGCTGGTTAGGGGGGTGTTTGAGCCTGCTGGTGCGTGCTGCTGGTGGCGGGTGGGGTGCAGCGCGCCCTGCTCCGCCTGCTCAACCGCCGCGAGATCGACGGGCAGAACCTGCTGGTGGGTGCTGCTGGCAGGGGGGGTGTGTGTGACATGTGGCTGCCAGGGGGGATGTGACGTACTGAGGGGGATGTGACGTACTGAGGTGGATGTGACATACTGAGGGGGATGTGACGTGCTGCTAGTGCAGTCCCGTGACCCGTCCACACCCTGCTTACACGTCGCCACGAGCTACTGTAACACCATCTCGCCCGTCCCTTCCCCTGCCCTCCCCCTTCTCCCCCTCCCCCCTCTTCCCCCTCCTTATTTCCACCTTTTCCCCTTTTCTCCCCACCTCCACTCCCTCCTCCCAATCTCTTCCTTTTCTCTAACCTACCCCGCCCCCCTCCCTTCCCGTTTCCCCAACCCCAATCGCATGCACAGCTGAACGTCAATGCAGCCACAAGGGAGTATCTGGAGCGCGTGGTAGCTTCCAGGAAAGCCTCCTTTGCCGCCCTCGAAGCTTCCAGGAAAGGATTGGCTGACCAGGGCGGGAAGGCGGGAGGGGAGGGAGAGGGCGAAGGGGACAAGGCGAATGGGAAGGAGGAGAAGAGTGAGGAGGCTGATGGGGTAAAGGCAGGGGAAGGGGTAGGAGGAGCGAAGGAAGATGAGAGAGAAGGGAAAGGGGAGGAGGGGAAGGAAGGGAGCAAGGAGGGAGAGGAGGAGGGGGAGAAGAAGGGAGAGGAGAAGACGGAGGACGAGGAGGAGAGGAGGAAGGAGGAGGAGGCGAGGGTGTTTGGGCTGGTGACGCCTGAAGACAAGGACAAGGACGAAGCCGCTCTGGCAAAGCTCAATAGCATGCTTCAGGAGAGGTGAGGGCGTGGTTCAGAGAGGTGAGGGGTGGATCCTGATAGCGGGTGTGGGCATGGGCGTGGGCGTGGGCGTGGGGGTGGGCGTGGGGGTGGGTGTGGGTGTGGGGATGGAGAGGGCGAAATGTGTGTGTGTGTATGTGAGGGCATAGCGGCTCCGTGATGTGATTGCTGGCCTCTCCCTCTTGTTCTTCTTCACCCTCTCTATCTTTCATTTCTGCCTCTGTGTGCTTTGTCTGTCCTTCGACGTTCTGATTGTGCTTGACTGCGCAATCGCCTGAACACGTGCAGGGCGAAGTTGAAATCACTTTTGAGAATCCTTGGAACTGTGTGCTTTCTCCGTCCACTGACGCCCTGATTATGCTTCACTGCACAATCGTCTCACACACATGCAGGGCGAAGCTGCTGCCACCACCACCGCCACCGCCTCTCAAGGACAGCAGCAAGGAGGCTGACACGTCTGTCGCTGGTGGGTGCATACTATCGTGTTCTTTTTGCCTGCTGCAGCAACCCATTGTTTGTTGTAACAAGACGGCTATTCTTTTCAGTCCTCTTCTGTTCTTCCTGGTTGTAACGTGTACGAACACAGAAGCAAGCACATGATGCCATGAACACGCTTACATGGCTGCTTGGCTATTTTTCCCGTGTATCACTCCAGCAGAATCAGGAGGTGACGGGCGCAGGCGGGAGGGCAGGAAGCGAGAGAGGGAAGATGCTGATTCTGACGATGATGATCATGGGCATGAGCGGTCCAGGCACAGGGACAGGGAGAGGGAGCGAGACAGGGAGCGGGACAGGGAGCGGGAGAGGGGTGATGAGGATGATCGGGAGAAGGAGAGGGACGGGGAGAGGGAGAGGGAGAAACCGAGGGAGCATAAGAGTGCAAAGGAGTGGGAGAAGGAGAGGGAGCAGCGGGAGAAGGAGCGGGAGGAGAGGGGCAAAGAGAGGGAGTATGAACGGCTGGAGCAGAGGAGGGAGAGGGAGAGGGGGCGCAGGGAGAGAGACAGGGAGATGAACTTGAGAGAGCTTGACAGGCTGTGTGATCAAAGGGAGAGAGAGATGGAGAACAAGGAGAAGGAGAAGGACCGGGCTAAGGCGTATGAGAGGGAGCGAGAGCGGGAGGCGGAGAGGGAACGGCGGGCACTGATTCGGCAGCAGGAGGAGGAGGATAGCGAGGAGGAGGAGAGGATTTACAGGAGGCGGGTGCGGGATGGGTATTGGGAGGAGAGGAGGCGGGTCAGGGCGAGGGAGGAGGAGGAGGACGCGAGGGACAGGGAGAAGGAGGAGAGGGAGAAGGAGGAGGAGAGGGAGAGGGAGGAGCAGCAGAGGAGGGAAGCAATGGCGTTTGTGAGTGAGGCGGTGGGGGAGGCGAGTGTGCTGCTGGGAGGGCAAGCTGCTGCTGCCACAGTTGTGGAGGTTGAAGGTGGGGAGGGTGAAGGTGGGGAGGGTGAAGGTGGGGAGGGTGAAGGTGGGGAGGGTGAAGGTGGGGAGGGTGAAGGTGGGGAGGGTGCTGACGGAATTGGAGGAGATGTGTTGGTGAAGACAGAAGAGACGAACGGGTTCATTCCAGCAGCAGCAGAAGAGGATACAGAAGCTACTGCTCTTGCTGCTGCGCCGGCATCACCACCTGCGCCTGTCCCCCCGCCGCTTCCTGAAGTGAAGTTCTCGCTACCCAGTCTGGCAGATCTGCTTCCCTCCCTCCACCCACCCTCTGCTGCCGCTGCTGCAGCTGCTGGGTCACCTGCGGGGCTGCAGGCAGGGCAGATGGCGGGTGGCGAGGGAGTAGGGGGTCCGCGGCAGGGAGGGAGGGGCAGGGAATCGGAGGTGGATGCGCTAGTGCGAGCTGTGGCGGCCCATGCCAAGGACAGGGAGGGGCGCGCAGGTACGGTATTCTAATTTGCCTCTGTAACATGCCAAGGTTGGCAGTGGTGCAAAGGTGTAGCTAGGGGTAAGGCTGTGGGCAGGTAGGCCCGTGCTTATGGCTGTGAGAAGTAGGCAGGTCTCTTCTGCCTGGGCTTGCACCTGTTAACTCACAGTCTCTCACCTTCTCTGCTCGTCCAGTTTGCGTTGTTCTGGTATGCATGCATATGTTTGTTTCTCAACGTCCAGTTAATGCACCCCATCTCTCTTGTTCTCATCAACTTTCTCTCCTCTCCTTTCCCCAAACCACTCCTACCAACTCTTTTCGATGTGTTGCTTTGGGGAACCAGCAGGCCCTGCTCCTCCTCATGTACCACCCGCAGCAGCAGCACCTGCTGAGGCAGCAACTCCAGCACCCGAAGCAGCATCAGCAGAAGTAGTAGCACCGGCAGCATCACCTGCAGAACCAGCAGCAGCGACCCCAGCGCCGCCATCCCAGCCAGCCGCCACCACTGCAGCCCGCCCCTCTGCCGCACCCTCCCGCGCCCCAGCACCCGCACCGTCCAAAAAGACGCGCACACTGGCATCGGTGTTCGGGGCAGAGGAGGACGAGGAGGAGCTAGGACGCAAGAAACTTCGCCCTCTTGTCCCCATCGATTATGACGACGGTGGTAGTGATGCTGCCGGCGCTGCTGCTGCCGGTGGTGGTGGTGGTAGGCATGGGAGTTCCTCTCCCGCTCCCCCAGCTGGTGCTGCGGGTGGTGCGGGAGGTCTGGCGGCCAGCATTGCGGCAGCGGCTGAGTTTGCCAAGCGACTGTCGCAGGGAGGCGGGGTGGGCGGGGAGGACGAGAGGAGGAGGAGCGGAGGGGGGGATGCGGGTGCGGGTGGGGGGGAGAAGGAGAAGGTGAAGCCCAAGGCGGTGGTGGATGTGAAGTCGCTGATTGACTCCATCCCCAAGAGCAAGGACGAGCTCTTTGCTGTGCCCATCAACTGGACCGTCTATGATGAGGTGAGCAAGCCTGGGACATGCCTCATAGTATAGCTCAACCGACAAGCGACTCCGCCCGGCGGAGCTCGCTGCCCGCGGGCAAAAAAAAAAAAAAAACCCATGCGGGCATGCCTCCTTTCAGGGAGGCATCAACCCTAAACACAGGGAGGCATGTGTTTAGGGTTGATGCCTCCCTCGGATGGCATGCCATCGGATGGGGTTGTAGTTTTTCCTGCCTGCCGGTCAGGTCGACGGTGGTCGACGCTCCGTCGACCACCATTGGACCCTGTTTCGTTGAGACATTCCTAGATGAAACCGTGCTGAGGTCGAATCCCCCTCTCGTCTCCCTTCCTCTCGCTCACCATCATCGTTCAGACTGCACAGGAAAAGCACATGCGCTTTCAACACCCATCCGCTTTCAAGCCGCACCGCCTACACTCCGTGTTCCCCCCCTCCTGTGTTCTCCTTCCCCCAAACCCATTGGCTCAACTCAACGCTCCTCCCGCCTCCTATTCACCCAACGTTGCCCCACAGAGCGCCCTGCACCAGCGCATGCGGCCATGGGTGGCGAAGAAGATCCAGGAGTTCCTTGGGGAGGAGGAGCCCACGCTGGTGGACTTCATTCTCTCCAAGTCGCAGCAGCATGTGGGCGGGGCTGCGCTGCTGGGGCTGCTGGAGCCCATACTGGACGAGGAGGCGGAGATGTTTGTGCTCAAGATGTGGCGCATGCTCATCTTTGAGATCAAACGCGTTGAGATGGGGCTCACGGGGAAGGCCGGTGGGAAGTAGGTCGTGGGATTGCAGTGATTGATAATGATGTTGTGACATTTTTGTGTTGGATGGAATTGTTCAGACTTTTTTTTTTAAGTGGGAAACTGTAGATTGAGCTGCAGTGCAGTGATTCCTGATGTGTCTGTTTCTTGATGCCAAGATCAGAAAACAACTGATGGGTACGGATGAGGTACCATTGTGCTCCCTCGCTACTATCTCCTCACTCTCCTCTCTCCCCTCCCCTCTCCCGCCCCTCACTCCTCTCTCTTCCCTCTCACCTCTCTCTCTCCCTCCTCTCTCTCCTATCTCGCCCCTCCCCTCTTCTCTCTCCAGCCCCCCTCTCCTCTCTGTCTCGCTCAGCCGTCTCTCCCTGTCCTGTTTCGATCTGCCATGTATGTATAAGCACATAATACTTTTCATCCAGTGTGCCAGTGGTCTAGTGGTAGAATAGCACCCTGCCATCAGCACGGTGCAGACCCGGGTTCGATTCCCGGCTGGCACAGGCAACGCTTTTTGTGCGTCAGCAGTCTTCTTCGGTCTCGTCGTTGGTCACATTTCCGTCATACGGAAGGTTTCCGGGCCTGACATTTCCGTTCGGCTCGCATTTTCTTGTTCGCTGCTGCAAAGCGATTCTCATATCTGCTCCATCGCCTCTGCTGCCTTTACATCGCCTCTTTTCTGCCCTCCTTACTCATCCTCTTCCGGGACTGCGTCCACGAGAAGACGATAAGTGGAAGAAGTGTGACAGCCACAACATTTCCTATTCTTCCTCCCCCTGCTGTTAATAGCCGTTACTCGCTCTTCCTTTCTTCCGCCTTCAATCAAGAGTTACCCCTAATAGCGTCACCGTACGCGCTTCGACCCATGTGAAGGAGCTCAAAGCGCGCCGACTGTCCCAGAGAGCGGAATCGGGATAACGCTGATAGTCTCGGCCGATCAGTCGTCGACATGGTGAGTGTAGCCGTCGAATGCGGAGTGCGGTTCCTCCCTCCCTGTCGCCTTTCAAGGCGCCTCAAAAGTGGTTCCTCCCTCCCTGTAGCTATCCGCAGAGTGTTCCTGTAGAATGCGAGTAGTATTTCCCGCGTCTTACTCAGAGCTAAACGATTCGCGTCTTGACCCGCACGTTTCCGCATCCCTCATGCCTGGCACTGCACTCTCCCCAACCGCTCTGCACCCCTGGGCATGGCAGGTGTACCACTCATCATACACGCATTTGGAGGGAGTGGAGTTCGCATGCGGCTGCCCATTGCTGCCGCTCAAAGCCACCGCCAGAGGACCCACTCACAACACCTCCACTGGTAACCACCTTTCACCCAACGCCTCCATTGGTAGGCATCTTCGCACGACACCTCCACTGGTAACCACCTGGTAATCACGCTTGTCCAAGCCAGAGTGTGTGAATTCACTCCTTCATTTAACTTAATTCAAACCTACTCAACCCCACCCCTACCCCACCCGATCACGCACCCAGAGGAGACGGACATAGTGGATGAGGCGATAACACTCTTCCGAGCCAACGGGCTGTGAATCCATCCCTTCCTCCCTTCAACTCACCCACCCAAACCCACCCAAACCCACCCAAACCCACCCGAACCCACCTCTACCCCCACACCCCACCACCCAGAGGAGACGGACATAGTAGACGAGGCAATCACGCTCTTCCGAGCCAACGTGCTGTTCCGCCGCTTTGACATCCGCGGCCCGGCAGACAAGCTGCTCGTCTACCTCACGCTCTACATCAACATGGCTCTCAAGCGCATCGACTCCTGCCCTTCTGAGGCCGAGGGCATCAAGCTGCTGATCAACCTCGGATTGGAGCCCTTTCCCATTCCAGGAGATCCAGGATTCCCGCTTGCTGGGCTGTTCGCCACTCCGACTAGCCGCCTTGAAGCAGGTGCGTGGCTTAATAGTCGAGTCAGTTCATCTCTCGTCAGTCTGGTCTGGGGCTGGATGAAACTGGGAACCCTTCAAGCCACGCACCTGCTTCCAGGCGACCCTTCAAGTCAACCGGGAGCGCCTAGGGGCGGACGAGCTCCTGCTCTATGGTCTGCCTGACCTATGAGTCGACTCAAAAGTAATCTGCGTGTAAAAGGTGAGGTTTTGAGACATCTAAAAAAAACGGACGAGCTCCTGCTCTATGGTCTGCCTGCCCTACTTACTTCTATGGCACAGGCTTCACTTGGACACGGCTTACTGGCCACGGTGCTGTTCTTGTGGCTGGACTGGATGCACTTTGTTGCGCCCGTGCATTGTGTCGGAGCCAGGACGTCTGCTCCGCTTCAGATTCCTTCCTGGGTACGTCCTTGCTCTGCCCGTGTTCTTTCACATTTTCATTCACCTGACTGTGGCTCCTTATCTCTTTCATCCATTCACACCACCACCTCACGCAACCTCTTTTCCCCCGCCTCGCCTATCCCTGGAACAGAGACACTGCGGACGCACTTAAACCTTCTCACTCCCCCCATCTCCCCGCCCTCCCCCTCCTCTTCACCCTGGCCCTCCCCATCTCCATCCCCCTCCCCATCTCCTTCCCCTTCCCTCTCTCCCCGCAACAGCGATACTGCGGACGTACTTCGGCCTTCACACCTCCCATCCCTTCACCTTCCCCCTCCCCCCAACCTCCTCCTTCGAACAGAGACATTGAGGACGTACCTGCAGAGTGTGAGGGAGAAGACGAGCAACCATCTACTTTTCAAGTCAACTCAAAAGTCAACCTCCCCCACCCCCCAACCACCCTTCCCCCTTGAAATTCCCCCTTCCCCCAACCCCTCCCTGCTCCCTCTCCGCCTCCAACAGAGACACTGCGCACATACTTGCAGAGTGTGAGGGAGGAAACGAGCAACAGGCTGCTGCAGGTGGTGTATCTGCCAGACGGCTCGCCCAACAAGTGGTGGCTCTCCTTCAGCAAGCGCAAGTTCATGAACGTTGCCATGCCCCTGTGACCAGACCGTACACACGTTATGAATGCCGCCGTGCCCCTCTTACCATGCGTGGCTCGCCCAACAAGTGGTGGCTCTCCTTCAGCAAGCGCAAGATCATGAACGTCGCCATACCGCTGTGACCAGACACATACCGTGCCTTGTCTTCAAGTCTTGGTTCTCTGTACAGTGTACAAGTTCTAGACCAAGCTCGGCTCATTAGATGTGCCGCTAAGCGTAGTTCTGTTTCTTGCTCGGCTCATGCACAGGGAGGTTGTGCCTGGAGGCTTGTGCACTGATGAGGGAGGGTTTCATGCTTCTATATACCCATGGTTGACATTAAACATGAAAGCTTCACAACTCATTCAATAAGCAAGTCATTGCCAGCTCAAATCGCACAATAAACTTTCCAGCCAACTTGGACATTTTACACAATGCACAAAATTACTGACAAATACTAGTCATTACTATACAGATGAAGTGCAATTACAACAACTTCTCAATGTCAGCCTGCACAAGGTACAGGGAGGCAGGGAAAAGGAGGAAACAGTGTCAGCTATTAGGGCTTACATAATGTGAAATCCATGCTATCTTTCACAGAAGCAAATGTCTCTTGTGACCACAATATTATTACCTGGATGGCGGAAGGCGAGGTGGTAGGAGCGTATCTCTCCTCGACCTTGCCATCCTTGTCCACAAGGGTGCTAGTCTTTCCAGAAATAAGTTACCTTACCAGGAACTCTCTTATCAATTACATTACCTGGATGGCGGAAGGCGAGGTGGTAGGAGCGTATCTCTCCACGACCTTGCCGTCCTTGTCCACAAGGAACTTGCCGAAGTTCCACTTGATCGAGTCACCCAGCAGCCCTCCGCCCTTCTGCGACCGCAGGAACTGGTACACTGGGGCTGCGTTCGGCCCGTTCACATCCACCTGCACGAAGAGCATGAGAGGATAGACGATATTGTCAGACGTGCTTGAGTGTCACATCAGCACAACACCCACCATGACGTGGGCCAATCAAGTACTTCTGGTCTGCCTCGCTTGTTCAGTGTGCCTGCTTGTCATGACTTTACTCACGACTCAGTATCTCGTTCAGTTCCGGTGACAAGCGTCGTACCTTGTCGAAAAGCGGGAAGGTGGCGCGGTATCTGGAGCACGCGAACTCCTTGATCTTCTCGTTGCTGCCCGGCTCCTGCGACCCAAACTGATTGCACGGGAACGCGAGAATCTCCAGACCTGGCGGACGAGGTTCGGGGATGGGAGAAATTTTTTGTTAAAGCAGGTACGGGAAGGAAGAGGCACGATACAAAGAAGAACCAGGATTCGGGAAGAGGAGAACTAGTGAGGAGACGCGGCGAGAGGAGGCGCAGCAGGAAAGACGCGGAGTGAGGAGGCGGAGCAGGAAAGACGCGGCAAGAGGAGAACTGGGAGAGGTTGGGCAAAGGGAGGGACCAAGGAGGAGCTGGGAACAACGTGAGGCCCGCAATATGTCACTCCGGTGTTTTACTGCACAATCATTTCCACCATTGCTCACCTCTGTCCTTGAGCTTGTCGTACACCGACTGCAGCTCCTTGTAGTTGGAATCGGTGAGTCCACTGACGGGGATAACGAGAAAATGGACGAAAATCACGTAAAAACAATACAACGGGAAGAGAGCGCGACATCAGGACAGAGACACGGCCATGCACGAGCATGTCAAGCATAGGAAGGAACGCGGAGATACGTGCGCATCGGCGAGATTAAGATGGAAAGGCCAACGGTGAAGAGAAGAGAAGATGAAGATAGTGAAGCGCGCCAGGCACAAGTCGAATGCAGATTTACAAGTCCTTTCGCACCTAGATAATGCTCTGGTTACAATTCCTGTTTCCGAGATCCAACCAATTACCCCATGCTCACCACTGCGAGGCGACGTTGACTACGAGAACGACCTTGCCCTTGTACTGCGACAGCGACACGGGCTTGCCTTCGATGTCCTGCGCGCGATGGAGAAGGAATCGCAAGGTTCAGGGTTGATTAATAGTTACACGTGATGTAAGTGGCTCCCACTTACGATAGTGAACAGATTCAGAAGAGCAATGGATTACCAGGGAGTAAACAGTACGTCAAGTGAGTCAGCGGATACTGCCTTAACTAGGTCGGGTCAACCATGTTCCGAACCAATTTGATGTTCGAATTCACGCGTACGGTACCGCGATCACACGAGAGCAGCAGGTTCACTGCGAAATTCGCGAATACGCTTACATTGACAGTAAAATCGTGGAAGGTCTTCCCCGCAAACGTCGCCGCGGACGCGTTGGCACCCATCGCACCGCCCTTCGAAGACGCCGACGCGCTCCTGGAAGCAGACTTAATCGCAAACGCCTGGCGGAGGATCGGAGCGCTGCCCTTCACAAACGACGATCCGCTAACTAGCAGGGTCGAAGCGTGCTTACGCGCGGGACGAGAGAGGGTAGAGAGGCTGCGAGCGAGAGACACGGTGGAAGGAGCAGAGGCAATAGCGGCCATCGTACGCTCAAGTAGGCGAACGAAGAAAGAGTTAATAGCCGGTGGAGAAGGGTACGGAGAGGCGAACCCGGTTTGGCAATTCTTGATTCCTGAAGTGAAGTGAGGGGGAAATGTTGAAATTTGAGGTGGATAAATTCGCGGCAGGGAGGAATCTGCGGTGATGACGCGAGCGAGAGCTTCCCGAGGGGGGTCACAGCTTCGTGAATTCACACGTCGGGCAGATCGGTTTTCCTATCGTTGGTACCCCAGCACCGGGCTGTTGATTTTGAACTCAACAGGGTATTGCTCATGGCTTGTTTGGCCGGGGCTACAACCATGTTCTTGCAAATTTCAGAAGCAGATTGTTTTCCGGGCTGATTCTCGGTCAGACATCCCACCTGCTCGGTCCCCTCTAGAACTGAGATTGCTGACGTTGGCTGCCTCGTTTCGCTTTCACGAGGTTCGATCGAGTACACGTGTACACGTTATGGCTCTCCAGCTAGACCGAACTTCCATCTTCCACGTGCATGAAATATATGCTGCCAACAAGCTATTGGTCTTGTCTACGTGGCACTTCGAATGAAAAAGGGTTCGCGGAGGAGATGCACGAGGACGAACCGTTAGAAGCATCTCCGATGTCGTGCTAAGAGATTGGCCTTTTTACAATCGGGAAGGCAATGACTACGGAAACCCGAACTGCTGCCAGCGAGCCCGAAGACTGCGAGCTGGGACACTGCAGATAAACGACCAGGGTTTAGGGTTATGGATGACGCCTCTGGGGCATTTCCGTCACCACCGATATTAGCACGACATCTACGCGTGCGAGCCGCCAACTGGCAAGCCTACTAGTTATGACCAGCATAAATGCATTGTGCTTTGTGGGTCAAATGTTGACTTCGGTGCATACCGAAAAGATGGTCATTTCGCTGTCATTCGCCTCTTTTAGAAATAGATCACGATTCTCCGAACGTTGAAACGACGGTTGACATTGCCACTTACGTTTCGTTCCGCCATCCAATGACTGCTCGCCGAGCGACCAGAATGCCCTGCTAGGTCCTCTTCACATAGCTACGCCCTTACAGGTTCTTTTCGGCTAGCGGTTGTTTGCGTAACTCATTGGCGAGCGCCTCGAGCGCCTCGTACAGTAACACGTGCAGTTGCAGTGGAAAAAGGAGAGTCGGAGGCGAGTACCGAAGGATGATTCAGTTATGAGACGAAACACTGCTAAACAACTTCTCGTAACCGTTTTGCCATGGCGTAATGATCCTTTTCGAGTGTTGAGCGCATTGCGTGACAGAGCGGGCGGGAGGAGGGTTGAGAGGGCACCATCCTGACGGCCACCACCGTGAGCGTTACGGAAAGGCATACGCTATGTGCGTTTGCCTGTGATCGTGCTTGTACCGTAAGCTCGTGCGTGCTTGTACTGTGCGTCCGCTGTGTACAAAGTTAGGATACAAGGTATCATACCATACTCGCTTCAGCAAGAGTACTGGCTGAGTGGCTTCATCGGCCCACTCTTCAGTGGGACACACGTTGGCTCCTTCCTAAACTAATGGCTACTTGCAGTAAGGTGATGCGGAAAATAATTCTGCAATAACCACTATGGGTTTGCTAATAAAGAATCAGACCCGGCAGCATTAGCGCTCATACCAGCTTGTTCACAAGTACCACAAACACCCCCACCAGACTCACCAATCCCACCCTATGTGCTGGCACTACGATACACGGCAGCCGCAATCATCCATGACCCGTCTATTCCAATTCTTTAGTCGAACACCCTACTTTCAAGGCGCTCCTAACACCCTGCCTGCCTGCCTGCCTTAATCCAGCATGTGAGCCACCCCATATGATGCCGCTTGCATCTCTCCGCCTAGTAGTCAACTGCAGGTGGTGATGCCTTTGGTGGCGCAGATGGGGAGGAGGAAGGAGATGACTTATGAGGCGCCTCAAAAGTCGCATCACTCCGCCCAGTAGTCAACTGTTGGTGGCGATGCCTCTGGTGGGGCGGATGGGGATGAGGAAGGGGGTGCTGCAGCACCCCCAGCACGTCCATTCGCTGCATCTCCTGCAGCATCACCAGCAGCATCAGCGGCACTATCACCACCACCAGTCTCACCACCCTCACCCATACCAATCACCCCAGTCACCCTTTTCTCCGCACCCACCCACCTCTCTATCCTCAGCTCCTCCACAGCCACAACAGCCGCCAGCAGCCTTCCCGCCATCTGCCGCTGATACTCCTCCATGCGCCGCTGCTCCCTCTCCACCTCCCTCTGCTTCCTCCCCTCCCTCTCCTGCCCCCATCACTCCGCCCAGTAGTCAACTGCAGGTGGTGGCGATGCGTCTGGTGGGGCAGGTTTGGAAGAGGACGGGGATGCTGCAGCACCACCAGCCCGTCCATTCGCTGCGTCACCAGCAGTAGTACCGGCAGCATCGCCAGCAGCATCAGCGGCACTATCGCCACCACCAGTCTCACCACCCTCACCACCCTCACACATCCCACTTACTCCAGTCACCCGTCTCTCCCCACCCACCCACCTCTCTCTTCTCAGCTCCTCCACAGCCACAACAGCCGCCAGCAGCCTTCCCGCCATCTGCCGCTGATACTCCTCCATGCGCCGCTGCTCCCTCTCCACCTCCCTCTGCTTCCGCCCCACCCTCTCCTGCTCCCGCTTCACCTCCTCCTGCTCCTTCCCCAGCCTCTCCTGTTCCCTAGCTAACGCCTCCTGGTCCCGAGCTAGCGCCTGCTGCTGCTCCCTCAACTCCTGCAGCGAAGCCGATTGAATTGGCGCGGTCAACCCTCCAGAGGAAGAACCCTGCTGCTCCGCATGCTGCTGCTGCTGGGCGTGCCGCTGCTGCACGGCTGCCAGCAGAGACAGCAGCTTCTCCTGCGCCCCCAGCAGGCCTTCCTGAGCGCTCCGAATGTCCTGCTCCGCCCGAAGCTGCTCTCTCTCCGCCCCTACCTCCCCCTGCTGCGCCCCCAGCTGCTCCTGCTGAATCTTCAGCTGCTCCAGCTGCGCTCTTACCTGCTCCTGCTGTGTCAGTAGCGCTCCCTGCTGCGCCTTCAGCTCTTCCTGCTGTGCTCGAATCTGCTGCAGCATCCCTTCAGTCACCAGCTCTGGCTGCAGGGATCCATCTGCTTGCATCCAGGCGCCCATCTGCTCCCCTTTAAGCCTCTCTTGCTCGCCGCTCAACGTGTCCTGCTGTGCTCTCAACGCGTGTTGCTCTGCTTTCAGCGAGTCTTGCTGTGCTTTCAGAGCGTCTTGCTGGGAGCGCAGGAGGCGAAGCGAGGTCGAGAAGAGGTCGAACTGGCGAACGGACTGGTCCTGCACGCCCAGCAGCAGCAGCAGCATCTCCTCCGACTCCCTCCGAGAGGCCACCAGGGCGTCTTGTAAGCCTTGTACCTGCTGTGCTGTCGCCTCTGCTAGCTTTGAGGTCTGGTGAATGAGGGAAGGGGAACCAGGAGAGAGAGGGAGAGGAGAATGAGGGAGGGAGTGAGAAGAGAGGGGAAGGGACGGTGCCGCAATGCGCGCCCAGCAGCAGCAGCTGCACCTCCTCCGACTCCTTCCGAGAGGCCACGAGGGCGTCTTGTAGACCTTGAACTTGCTGCGCTGTTGCCTCTGCTAGCTTCGTCGTCTGGTGGGGATAGGGTAAGGGAGAGAGGAGAATTTGATCCAACGAGTGGGAAGTGAGAGAAAGGACTGGTGCGCTCTTGCTTCTGCAAGCCTCGGGCTATCTGCCAGCACGAGGATACAAAATGGACCTCCTGGTGCAGATTACTACATTTCATGTAAACATTTAGCAACATTTCATGTAGCAACATGGACGATTGATCTACATCTAGCACAAGTGCAGCATGGGGTCTCTGAGCGTGCGCCTTGTGACCCGAGTGTGCAGCAGAATCGATCCCACATGCCGTAACAGGGCGTGCACCACCTGTTGCATCTACCACCTGCTGCTCTTGCCTCTACTCTACAGCCATAAACGAGGTGACTTTTGAGTCAACTCAAAAGTGCACCACCTGCTGCATCTGGCACCTGCTGCATCTGGCACCTGCTGCATCTGGCACCTGCTGCATCTGGCACATGCTCTTGCCTCTACTCTACGGGCCTACGGCCATGTGATTCAACGCACCTGCAGCATGGGGTCTCTGAGCGTGCGCCTGGTGACTCGTGTATGCAGCTGAATCTTCTCCACATGCCGTGAGAGCGCATGCACCAACCCCACCACCTGCTGTAACTAGCACATCCGAGCATATACTATCAAGTCAAGTGATTCACATTACCTGCAGCATGGGGTCTCTGAGTGTCCGCCTGGTAACTCGTGTATGCAGCTGAATCTTCTCCACATGCCGTGAGAGTGCATGCACCATCCCCACCACCTGCTGTAACTCTGCCACGCTCACAGCCTCACTCCCCCTCGCATGCCCACCCGGACCTCTCCTGCCCGCCCTGCTGCTGCTGCAGATGCCTTCTGTGCCCCCTGCGCCTGCTGCTGCCGCTGCTCCTGCTGCTGCTGGTGCTGCTGCTGGTGCTGCTGCTGGTGCTGCTGCTGGTGCTGCTGCTGGTGCTGCTGCTGGTGCTGCTGTTGCTGCTGCTGCTGCTGTTGCTGCTGCTGCTGTCTCTGCTGCGGCATCACGGGTTGAACGGGAGCAGGGGAGGCGTGAGACGGAAACGGAGGTGCTTGTAACGGGGGTGACAGCAGCGAGGGTGCGGTGGGCAGGGAGAGGAGGCGCGAGAGGGCGGAGAGGGCGAGCGCGGAGGAGAGGAGGAGCGATTTCCAGAAGAGAGGGGGCAGGGCGGAGAGGGGCGACGCGAAGGCGGACAGAGAGGCGACCTGGAAGGGGGAAGTGGGGCGGCGGGTGGTTGAAACGGAGTTATTTGGAAGAGGATATCAAGAGGGCAAAGAAGGGGGGGAAGGGAGGAAAATCAGATGGCGCAATCTTGGCAGAAATTGAGTACGCCAAAATTGCGATCCTTCTGTCCGTCCGTCCGTCGGTCCGTTCTTTCTCACTTTTAAAGCACTCGAAGATCGCCTCCGTCCGTCCGTCTCGCCTGGTTTTAGAAACCAAGTAAGATGTATTTTCCTTTTCGTGTGGACAAGCCCGTCCGCCTCACCTTGTGCTGCATCAGCAGGGTCATCACTTGCCGCACGCACACGAGCAGCAGCGCGCCCACGCACACGTACCACGCCACGCCTACAACACGCGCGACTCGCCACCTCCACGTCTCCCCTTTCCCCACTTCCTCCTTCCCTCGCGCTTGCGCGAATTTTGCCTCCCTCGCCCCTTCCGCTCCCCCTTCTTTCTTCGCTTCGAATATTTTCCCTTCGTTTCCTTCTCCTTCTGCTTCTCCCTTCCCTTCCCGTTTCCCTTCCCACCCTGCTGCTCCCTCCCACGCTACGCCTCCCGCAGCAGCCGCAGCACGAAACGAGACCTTTCGCGACGGGTTCGTTGGCGAAACTCGCCGCTGCTCGCGCCAATTCGCGGACGACAACGCGACGACCGGCGGGGGGACTTTCCCGCGGCTACCTCTCAGAGAAAGCTGACCAGCCGTCGCGCAAAGGCGGGAGAGGTCGTCGTCGGACGGGTGTGGGACGCAGCAGGATCGCAGTGGCCGCGTACGAGGGGAGGCACAGGAAGTAGTGGTCATTGTTCGCATCGTCGAAGTCGCTGCTGGCGTGGTCCTCGCTAGAGTATTGCTACTATTTGAGATTACGTTCTGCGACATGGCAGCATTCGCAGCCGTGATCCTCCTATTTGCGGCGCGTGATCCGCCGCTGGATGCGGCGCGAATCATGGCGAATGTGGTGCGTGACCCTACCGCGCGATCCTGCTGATTCCCCTGATCGTAATCATGATCGTATCATAATCAATCTCGCATCATATCACGATCCATGGTGATCCGGTAGCTATCGCATCAGGAATCGTATCTCGTATTCTCTAGATCGCATCCTATCTCGAATCCCATGAACCAGCTAGTCCTGAGTGAATCGTGGCCGTGAGTTTTCAACGGCTATTAGCCTTCTCTCATGCCATCGTGCAGCAGGCCGCACCCCCTGCGACTGATGCGATTGATGCGACTGATGCGACTGCTCCTGCACCCGTACCCGCGAAGCACGCTTGCGGATATCGCGAATCGTCCGTACCTTCAGCCGTCAAGGTTCCCAATGGAGAATATCGTGGTCGTGGATCTTGCTGCTGAATGGTGCCATTGCTCTTTCTGAATGGTCTAGCTAGCTCCCAATAAAGCTAGCTGATGGTCTGAAACTCTTCCTTGGAATCATCGATGCCTGCCAGATCGAAAGGCTGTTATTGATCCTGTAATTTCGGCCATGAGATGTTGACGGCTGAAATCCTACGGCTTACAGGCGAACACGGCGTGATCTCCCCCGTTCTTGGAAAAGTTCCGACAAAAAAGAGTGACTTCCACATTGGCAGTGACTTCCACATTGCCACGACTCAACCACTCTATTATTTTTTATTGAACGTATATGGCAAGGAGCTTTCATGTTTCTGCCCGGGTCTTGGATTGTACATGGTATTTTTGTACCGATGGTTACTACTAAATCCAAGAGCTCTCTTGATACCGGCTACCCTTTGAAATAATATGGAGCATTGACGGTTATGCATTGAACACTCCGGCACTTAAAGCTCAGGTGATTAGAAGCCTTGGGGCTGGTAATGCACCAGCAAGCCCGCCATGAGGTCATCCCCCATGTCATGTCATGTCATGTCATGTCATGTCATGCCTGACCATGGCCCCATGCCATACCATGAAATACCATGCCAAGCCATGCCATGCCACCATGCTATGCCAGGCCAAACCAGGCCAATCAATGCAACAAGTGTTGCTAAAGAGTATAACCCAGATCTCCAGAGCCCATGCCGGGGGGGTGGCATCGTGGCATAGCAAGCCATGCCATGCCATTGCATGTACAAGAGTTGATAACTAGCACAAGTCAGACCTCCAGAGCCCATGCCGGGGTGGCATCGTGGCATAGCAAGCCATGCCATGCCATTGCATGTACAAGAGTTGATAACTAGCACAAGTCAGACATCCAGAGCCCATGCCGGGGTGGCATCGTGGCATAGCAAGCCATGCCATGCCATTGCATGTACAAGAGTTGATAACTAGCACAAGTCAGACCTCCAGAGCCCATGCCGGGGTGGCATCGTGGCATAGCAAGCCATGCCATGCCATTGCATGTACAAGAGTTGATAACTAGCACAAGTCAGACCTCCAGAGCCCATGCCGGGGTGGCATCGTGGCACAGCCTCCCTTTGTGCCACACACGCCTATAATCAAGCACATACGGTACCCAAACCCCCCACTCCATGCCAAGCCACCATGCCTTGCTGTCCATCATAATCTCTAAACAGTAAGAACTCAGAGCCTCAGACCTCCAGAGCCCATGCCGGGGTGGCATCGTGGCACAGCCTTCCTTTGTGCCACACACGCCTATAATCAATCACATACCGGTACCCAGACCCCCCACTCCATAGCCATGCCTTGCTGTCCCATCATAATCTCTAAACAGTAAGAACTCAGAGCCTCAGACCTCCAGAGCCCATGCTGGAGTGGCATCGTGGCACAGCCTTCCTTTGTGCCACACACGCCTATAATCAATCACATAGTCCGTGTGTGCCGACCAGTACCCAAACCCTCCACTCGCATACAGCCAAACCCTGCCGGCCATGGGGTGCTTGCTGCAGACCACCACACCCTCAATACAATCACCATCCGGCACAGTCACAAGCATCCCCACCACCTCCCTCTCTTCAACCTCCTCGTCCTCCACCTCCTCATCAACTCCCCCTTCTCCCTCCACCTCACTGCACGCTCCACCCACTCCCTCCCTGCCACACACTGCACTTGCTACCGACTGGTAACCAGCAGCTGCCAGCCTTGGGGAAGCCCAGGAACCGATGAGGCTCACAGGCGCACCAGCAGGGTTTCCAATTCCATTAGAACTTAGATTATGATGTGCGTTAGAGTGTGAGTCAAGGTGTGAGTTAGGGCGTGAGTTAGTGTGTGAGTTAGAGTGTGACACGGTGTCAGTGAACAATCGCCGTGCACCTGGAATCATGGTAGCAGCAGCAGCCTGGCCATTGCTCCTTCTTCCCCCACTGTTGCCACCATCGCCTCTGTTCCAGTCACCAACACTATCATCACTCTCACTCTCCTCCCCACTGCTCTCCTCACTCCCACTGCTGCTGCTGCTGCTGCTGCCGTCGCTGCTGCATTCGCTGCTATTCGCAACGCTACTGCCATTCTGATCCCTCATTCTCTCACTGGTTCCCCCTCCGTCCCTCCTCTCAGTCACCCCAATTGTCTGAGATGGGCAAAACAGAGGCCGCTTCAGGTCAAACAGCCTTTCCTCTTTCGGAGGTAACGGAGCACTCACAAACGAGGACAGATCTGCCACCCACCTGATCGCCCCTGCTTTCCCTGGTCTGCTATACCCACTGCTACACGGAGCTGCTTGCACTCTCCCATGCACTCTCCCCCCTCCTCCCCCTCCTCCTCTCCCTTGTCCCCCTCCCTGTCTCCTTCCCCCACCTTCCACCCTCTCCCTCCCCGCCCTTTCTCCCCTCTCTTTTCCCTCCTCGTATAAGACGCCTCCTGCTGTCTCATCTGCTCGCGCTGCTCCCTCTCCTGCAGCCCTCTCTCCACCTCCCCCCCCTCTCCCTTCCGCTCTTCCCCCTGTGCTCCCCCCGGCACTCCTTTCCGCTCTCCCCTCAGCTCGTGCCCTGGCCTGGCGGCGTCGCAGGCGCCGCTCGCTGCTGCGGGTGGCGGTGGTGGTAACCGCGCGGGCATGCGGTGGAGGCTGCTTGTACTGCGCCACCCGGCGGCACTGCAGCTGTCCAGATTCAGTGCATGTGAGCAGGATGAAATCGAGGCTGCTGTGCTGGCAGACGCCCTGAGGGATGCGAGGGGGGGAGGGCGAGATGGTGCACAGAGGAAGAGGGGAGAGAAAGAGAAAGGAGACGAGGTGGGCAGGATGGAATTGAGGCTGCTGTGCTGGCTCACGCCCTGAAGAGGGCGACGGAGTTGACAGAAGCAAGCGAAGGAGTGGAAAACGATGGGGAAAAGAAGTACGGGAATGAGGAGATAAAGGGATGTTCAGGCCCAAAGGGTCCTTACGTCTCACAGCTCCTACAGAGGACACAATGTCAGGAAAAGCCCCATAAAGCATACACCATGGACCATGCACCATGCACCATGCACCATACACTAAGCACCATGCACCATGCACCATATGACCCACACACCCTACCCAACCCAACCGCACCTTCCACAGTCCCTGAAGGGAACACAACGGTGATGGTTCCAGCTGGCTCGCCATCACCCTCACCAGATGCTCCTCCTCCCCCATGCCTCCCCTGCCCAGCCCGCCCCTTCCACCACCAACCCCTCCGCACACCATGACCCTCCCCTCCTCTCCCCTCCCCACCTCCGCTCCCCACGCCCCCCTCTCCCCAGCCACCTCCACAGCAGCACTCCCAACTGAAAGCTGGCTGCGCACCCCCCCGGCCTCGGCTATCTCTGCTGCCCGCTGCCGCTCCTTGCGCTGCTTTTGAGTCGACTCAAAAACAGACCCAACAGCGATGCTCCCAGAGGAAATCTGACTGCGCACCCCCCCGGCCTCGGCTATTTCTGCTGCCCGCTGCCGCTCCTTGCGCTGCTGCCGCCTCATCGCCTTGCTGGCGCCCGCCGCTGCTGACCTGGACGCCAGCGATTGGTACATCTCGAAGGGCGCGTGCAGGGAGGCGGAGTGAAGGGAGGCGGAGGAGGAAGCGGACCAGGCGGGGGAGGGGTTGGGCAGGGAGGAGGAGAGTCGGTCAGAAGTAGATATGTCAGGAGTGCCAGCTCTGCGGCTTTTCCCGTTTCCCCTGTCTGTCATACCAACTCTGCTGCTCGTCTTGGCCTCTTTAACAAGATACGGACCGGAACCATCCATAACGCCTTCCTGAAACTGAACCCTTTTCTGCGTCCCTTGCGTCTCAGGCTTCACCCTTCCCTGCTCCCTCTCCTGCTCTCCCCCCTGCTCCCCGTCCTGCTCTCCTCCCTGCTCCCCTTCCTCTGCTCCCTGCACTCTCCCTTCCTCCCCTTCCCCCCAGCCCTGCGCTCTTCCCTGCTTCCCTTGTTCTGACTCGCGCGAGGTCATGAAAGAGGCATCAGCTCGGGAATCAGACTGCCCTGCTGCTGCAGCCGGTGAAGGGGAAATGGGGGAGGGGGACGGGGGGGAGGCGGAAGAGGGGAATGGGGACGAGGGGGAGGTGGATTCGAACTGCAGGTTACGCCTTGGGGGAGGGCTTTCTTGTTGCGGGAAGGAAGGAGAGGGGGAAGGGGAGGGGGAGGGGGCGGGGGCGGGGGAAGGGGTTTGCGGGGAGGCGGAGGACAGGGCGGAGGACAACGGGGAGGCGAAGAGCGGACAGGGTTGCGGGGAGAAGGGGAACGGCAGGGCGTTTGACGGGCGCGGGTGGGCGGAGGCGCGACGGGCGCGGGACGAGGGGGAGTGCGCGGACGGAGTTGACCATGATGAGCATGATGACGATAATGACGATAACGACGATAACGACGATGACGATGATGACGATGAGTGAGGTAGCGACGAAGAAAGCCGCCCTTCGTCTATGAGCCTAGAGCCACCCGCGCCGCTCCCGCTGCTGCCTCTGTTGCCACCCCGACCCTTGTAACCAGCACTTTCGTAGAAACCACCGAATCCACGTGGCAATCCGTTTCCGTTCCCGTTTCCGTTTCCGTTTCCGTTTCCGTTACCGTATCCCATGGCGCCATTGCTCCAACCCAGCACGTGCTGATTCCCGCCAGCGGAAACTACGAGGTGATTTCCCGACACGAATTTCACCTCTGCGAGCACCCACGCTCCTCCGCCTTCCCTGCCGCTGCTGCGCCTCCGGTGATGGCTGCCACGTGTCCCTCTGCCATTGGTCGCCCCAGCTGACAGCATGATCTTGTCAGCGTGCGTCGGCCAATCAGCGTCGAGCCAGCAAGATACATCTAACGCGTCCATTTGCGGCCATGACGAGCCGCGTCGATCTCCGTCGATGTGGCCATAACCTGCTTTCTCTTGTCCATGTGTATGATACTCTATATCGGGTACAAAGCGGCATCTAGGAGCGGGGGCGACGCGAAGGAAAGGAACCCTGACGACTGCGTACGGCGACACGCTTCTCTCTTCGCCTAGCGGATAGCCATGCGCGTCGTCGTACTGACGACGACGCCGACCGTCAACTGCTCTGTGATTGGCTGGCGGGCCAACTGGAGCCGCGGGAAGCACGCGCACGCCCTCGATATAACCGTCTCGCCATTGGAACGCGACGAGCGAGCCCAATCCGCCGTCGCCGACTCCTCGCCAGAAACCAATCAGCGACTCACACGTGTCCAGCACGTGGTAGAGGCTCTTAAAGCTCGTAAATTTCCCAGGCTGCTGATTGTGCGGCTGCTGATCAAATGGCAGATGGGCGGATTGGTGGGGAGGGGACAGCCACGTGTGCAACGAGGTGACGTGGCCCCACCGACGGTCGCACGCCGGGTGCCAGAGGCGCTGGTCGTCGCGGAAAACGCGGAGGAAAGTGCGGGAAACGCACGCGCAACGAGCGAGGTCTGGTAGACGGAGGTGGGAGAGAATGAGACCCAATACGTCGTCGCTAAAATCCGCCATTTCTGCCATACTTGCCAGATTCGTCATTGGGACACCAAGTCAACATGCGAAGGAATAATTCAACGAAGAGGGAGGGGTATCGGACATGAAATAGGTGGCAGCTACTCTGTGTTGGAAATGGAAACAATCTCAGGCTAAAGGATCAGGCGAGAATATTCTCTTTCGGGTCAACATGCCTGTTGCCCTGTCAGAAGCCAACTTTTACGAGGCTGAGCTGGCCTGAAACGAACCCTGGAACATCGGGGAAGCAACCGGATCCAGCCCAGATAAATCATGCCATTTTGATTACTGCCTTGAGTCACAAGGATCAGAAACCTAAGTTGTCTAGATACCTAAGTTACAGAGCAAAGCACGCTGGGGAAACGGCTGGGACGGTGGTGGGGTCGTTGTTGAGAGAGAGGGGACAGGGGCACGTCCACGGTCTATGGTCAGAAGTTGGGGAGGGGGGAAGGGGAGGAGCACTTAGTGGTGCTTACAGTGGGATTTCATAATAGGGCATCCATAATGACGGTGGGCTTTTCTTTAAAATTGGGTGTAATTTAGCGGGTACAAACACGTTATAGGTAATTTTCAAAATAACTCTGAATACGAGAGTTGTACTGTCAACAACTGAGCTATAACGAGGTATTTTAATGATGGTGTTACCTTTCAAATTGTTTCTATAGTGAATTACCTCTCCCAGGGATTGCCCACACTTCAGTGACGTATTTGTGGAGGAGCACCTACGAACAAATTTCACAGGTTTGTGGATCAGGCACGATGTTGCGGTATGATAGCCAGGCGACATAATAACGGTGGGCTATCTTTAAAAATGAGGTATAATTTAACGGGTACAAAAGCGTAATGGGTATCCTGCTAAACGACTTTGTTTTATGAGGGTTTACCGTCGACATTTGAGCTATAACGAGGAATTTTATTGACGATGTCTGTCGCACATTTAGAGATCCCCACACCCTTCAAACCATTTCTTCTACAAAAGTGACCTCTCCCAGGGATTGTCCAGACTTCAGTGACGTATTTGTGTAGGAGCACTTCAAGAACAAATTTCACAGGTTTGAGAATCATCACGGTGGTACTTGCAGCGGGACCATAGCCGCCTCATAATGACAGTGGGCTATAATTTAAGGTATGGTGTAATTCAGCGGGTACAAGTACGTGACGGGTAGTTTTCTAAACGACTCTGCTATCCAAAGGCTCTACTGTAAAAAACCAAGCTATAACGAGGTATTGCAACGACGGTGTACATTCTTTTTTCACCCCTCCATTTTCCACTCTGCACTTACAAACGACTTTTGTATCAGCTAGTTTCAGAATGACTGTTTCGACCCGGCTGGGTAAATTTTTCCCATGAAGTCCGTTATGGATCGGGGCCAAGGGGAAATCCAACCATGAAAATATCCGTGAAACGGACCAGAGTGTGACACCTGCCTGTCATGTCCCGGTTGCACAGCTCGCCGACACCAGGCCCAAACGTCGCTCCATGCGATATATCTCTCTCAACTCTTGTCGGTAGTAGCGTCGTTCACAGACGACAGGTTGCCAAGTGTGACAAAATCGTTGGTTGAAGCTGGTGCTTGGCGGCTGGCCACCGGAAACGTGGGGATTAGGACGACAGCGCATTGGTCGTTTCAAGTCCCATTGTCCTTCTGACCTGTGAAGCTGTCGTAAAACCCGAGACTGTCGTAAAACCCAAGACTGTTGCAAAATGCATGGTCGCACGAAATTACAGAGGATTGGCTGGTAAGGGTTTCGGGTTAGTTCGTGTCAACCCGAAGCGCATTCAAATTAGAGTGTCAAACACTGTAGCTGAAGTGTCAAGTCGAAGCGCATGTACGAACATCAGCGACGGAATTTCATTGGTTTGAGAATTTGTCATGGGTGGATCTGCCAGGTAGCGAACAATTCAAAAGACAGATTGTGTGCTGATTGGGCAGCATCTGGGCAGATTGCGTGCGATAGGCACCTGCGACAATCTTCTCTCGTTTGTAGGTTTGACTGTGCCAATTTAGAAAGTGTCCGACGATTTGTATTGGATGGCAACCTGCAATTTCTTGACACCCTGCCAACAATGTTGGCTGAGTGTCAAAATGCCAAATTGACACTGCCCACTTTGACATGTCATCCCTACGGACACGACCTTACTGCATCAGAAGGAGTACTTGTGACCTTAGGAGCTGTACATACGCACAGACGAGAACCTAACACCCTATCGAAAAAATGAGACTATCGTTGGCGCAGAAATGGCTGCCGCATCTGTCGCGGCCCGCGAATGTCGATGGCACCTGACGCGACGCGCAATCACCCACGAATTCCACAGTAAATTCATTTCGTGGTGTGCTCCCCGTTTCACCGTCATGGCTGATAACCTGACTACAGTATAGCGTTGTTACGTTCTGTCAGAATATTATGCTCTAGCCTGTAGTGGGGTGCTCTGTAGCGAGTACAACCCTTCTAGGGTTTGCTATTTGTATCCCCATTCTTGCTAGTGCAACCCCTCTCTTTCGCCTAAACTCTCTTGCCTAGCTAGGACTCTCCTAGCTATGGCTCCTAAGACTACCGCTTATCTCGACACGTTCCAACTGCAGCTCTTGTTTGGTATCGAGCTAGGGTTATAAAGAACCGTCCTTTTCACATTTCTTTCACATTGCAAGCACTGCTGCTTGATCATCGCAACCATCCCTGCGGTTCTCGCTCGCCACCGCCCGCAAAGTCCAGTGCTTACTTGTCTAGCCATGGCCCTCTCGTCGCTGCGATCCGCGATCGTCGTCGCTGGTGAGTACCTCATACACTGATGGCGGCTGCTCGTCCTCGCTAGTAGTATGTACATCTGACTTAGCCTTGCCGCGTTGCTCTGCAAATCGCCGCGATTCGCAACCGGGGCCTGACGCACAACAAATCTACATCGCGGAAAAGGCAAGTGCAAAAAAAAAAACTTTAAAGTGGTCTCAGAATAACTAGGCAAGAATGAATGAAAGGAGAGAGAGGTTTGAACTAGCAGGCAGTTGAGTACAAATAGCAAACCCTAGATTGGGCTGTACTCGCTATAGAGTACCCCACTGCAGGCTAGACAATAATAGCATTCTGACACACCCCCATAGCCAAAGTGGGGTGTAATCAGCAGAGCAAGCAAAACAGTACAAGCTCAGGGTGGATCACAATGTCACCACACATTCTGAGCACAAGTTCAAGAAGCAATAGTTTAAAGTTCACAGTTATGAGCAAAGCTAGAGGCAGTCACAGAGGGCAAGCGAGGAGGAGGAGGGCTGGCGAGAGGAGAGAAGATGAAAGGCGCCGACTGAAGCTGCAGACACACGGGCAACAGGAGCGGCGCGCACAGTGGCTACCGAGCGCACGAGGGCACCGGACTACGGGAGTATCTGGCTCCGCGGCTACGACGAGCACACACAGGAGCAACGGACCCACAGGCGACTGGCGAAGCAGGCTCGCTGGGCTACCGAAACGCGCGAGGGCATCCGGACTACTGGCGCTGCTGGCGTCACGACGGCTACCTCCACGCAATCTCCCCCGACCGTCCCACGCCCCTCTCACACACCCCCTGCTGACACCCTAGCTCCACTCCGACGGTACCCCCCTTAAACCCCAAACCCTAGGCTCCCACACACCACCCCCCTCAGCGGCAGCTGTAGCAGAGGGAGACGAGGGAGGAGGAGGAGCAGGGGGAGGAACTCACAACCGACACCCCCATAGCCGCCACCCCCACACTCTTCACCCCCAAACCCTAATTTAGGAGAACGGGCTGTAGGAGGGGTGAGGCGCCGGTAGAAGCACGGGGGACAGTGGAGAGGGCAGGAGCAGCGAGGAACGGGCCGCCCACGGGCCTGGTAGAGCCGCCCGAACCGCGCGCAGGCGGCCCGAGCCGCGCGCGGGCCTGGCGCTTCCCGTACGGGCCGCGCGCGTGCCTGGCGCAGCCCGTACGGGCCGCGCGCGGGCCTGG